AAAAGCAGAAGAGTGAATACATATATCAGAAGAACAGAAAGGGAAAATAACCATCGAGTGACGATAAGAATATGTATATTGAAAGATGACAGCTGATATGAGATTTAGTTTATACTTCCTAACAAAAGCTTAATATGCGCATTTTTTAGAAATTGCTCTCTAAAGATAACTCTTGACGACTTACAGAAATGAGAAGTATATCATTGTAAAGATCTTGAATAGACACTGCTAATGCGTGTATTATTATACCTGAATTTTGGTTCTGTTATCACGGTAAATAATTTGTTTCACTTAAGAAGATTTTTGACTTGTTTGACATTTTAGGACAAGTCTTGCACTCTATTTATAAATTCTAAAAAGTTTTTAAACTGACTACTTTCCCTAGAGAACATACTTGATGCAAAGTACTTGGTTAATTGCTAAGTGCTTGCCAGTAATCGAAATACTTGCCTTATTGCTAAGAAGTGTTTTCTGAAAGTACTTGGCAAGTGAGCACAAGTACTTACACGTAAATTTACTTCTTGAAAAAAGGCATGTACCGGCTTCATTAGGCAGACGAAGTACTTGGTCCAAGTACGTTCTCTAGGGTTATCAGCAGTGACCAGTAAAATGTATTCTGAAGATTGTAGACTCAGGAAATGTATACGTTTAGAGAAAACTGACTACCATCGAACCCAATTTCGTTCTAAAAACTCAAATATCGACATTGCCATTGACGTCATGTCAAGATTTTGGAATTTTTTCAATGTCGTATTTGTGACTAGAACTGAATGGATTTTCTTTAAAATAAATCTCCAAGTTTGGAGAAACGTGATCGAACCTCCATGGAATTATCTTGCAAAAAATATTTTCTTTGATATAAGCTTTGTTATAAACGAAGCGAATAAATTAGCTTAAAGTTGTCTATTATAAACAGATGAAAAGTGTGCACGTCAATGCAGTTCTATTACTTTACCAGTTGCAAGCCTATTTTCAACTTTTTCTTATTTTCGTGCGTAGTTCTTTTGTCTTTTATGAATTCCAAAGAACTTTGTAGAACATTATTAACTAAAGGGTGTCTCATAAGTTTTGAAACAATTTCTAGCACGATAAATTTATAAATCGTCACAGAAAAAAGAATTTCTTACTATACCAAACGACACACAATTTAATTCTCTACAAGATTGTATGTTCATTTTTAACAGTCTTCTTTGATTTTTGGCACAGTAAGTCTAACGGGAAAAACTCCAAATTGTTTAACTGCACCACGCAGTTTTAAAGTGCAAACGGCTCTGTTTTTTTAATTGCTTATAATGAGTACAAAAAAATTTGAAATAATTTTATTACAGTCAAATAGTAAAGAATTTCATGCCTTACAAAAGCGTTTACTTGAAGGAAATTTATTTGAATTGCTAGTGACTTTAATACATAAACTTCCAAGTCCACCGAACTTTCTAGCACTAATAAAAATGTTGACTGTTCCAGTATAAAATCCAAAGGTCAAATTATTAGTTTATAAACCAAAAAAATGCAGAATTTCGCGCTCTATTACACTGTGTAACTTACAAATAAACATGCTACTTTTGTACCTGAAAAACTAGGGAATACTGGTTATCGCTAAGATGGCTGAAAAGTAGGAGAAAATGACCTTTCTTAACGAGCCCTGATTCCATCTAAAAAAATCATTGTTTGTCATTAAAAAACACATCATATTGTAGAAAATGTCTTGCTTAATTTTGGTATATCTTGTTTTGTTGAATAAGTGATCTTTAGCAAGGATTTGCGCAAAAAATCGATTCTTTGAAGGTGCAGTTAAAAAATTTGAAGCTTTTTCCGTTAGACTTACTGTGCCAAAAATCAAAGATGACTGTTAGAAATGAATATACAATCTTGTAGAGAATTAAATTGTGTGTCGTTTGGTATAGTAAGAAATTCTTTTTTCTGAAACGATTGTAAATTCATCGTACCAGAAATTGTTTCAGAACTTGTGGGACACACCCTTTATGCGTTTTTAGTACAAAATAGATTTGTCAACAAAGTATATTTGCTTTTAGTTCAACAGCAAAACTAAGTGGTGATAAATAACCGTCACTTTTCACCTACTTTTCCTAAAAACTGTTACTAGACAGATGTGTTAGAATTACTTACATTTATAAGTTAAATGAATTTAAAACTTATCTGAAGTTTTATTGTGTTTAACTAACATTCGATTTCTTTTGATGCAAGTTATTTTTTTATAGTCATAGAGAAAGCAAATTTCTTTTGGTTCTGAATGCATGTTCATATCATTCATTTGTTGTACCGTTTTTGCGATAGACTGAAAATGAACATCCATTACAAATACAAGATAGTACATCAGAAGAAGATGAACCAAGGCAACAAATTGATTTCCAACCGATGGAATCAAAAGCAACTGGTGGTGTGAAAGTTCGTGTCTACTTGGACTACTTTCGAGCTGGCTCCGGATTATTTCTTGGAATTTTTCTTGTTTTTGTTGTATTTTCATTGCAACAAGCTACAGCTGTATTTAGTAATTGGTGGTTAGCGAGATGGTAAGTAGGAAACATTTATTTATGTATTTATTTATTGTTATTAAGTTTTTCTACATATAGGTCAGATGCCGAACGTTTTCGTCACTCAACTGCATCGCTTAATTGTACTTTTACAAAAGCTGATCCAAAAATAAGAACAATGTCAGATGCAGAATGGGAATTATATCGAAACCGAAGATTTCATATTTATTGTGGTGTGTAACGCTATAAATAAATTATCTTTTTAAAATACAGATATATTTTCTTTCATTTTTGTTTCAGCTGTTGTTGTTAGTGTATTTCTAATAACATTATTTAGAGTTATTGCAATAGAATTTCTATGTATAAATGCATCACGGATACTACATAATAGGCAAGAACATGGATCCCATAATGGTCTTATTTATTTTCTATATTTGATACATTTGAGTTTCTGTTTTTTTGTTATTTAGAATGTTTCAAAGAATAATTCATTGTCCAATCTACTTTTTTGACAATATCCCAGTTGGTATGTGTGTGTGAATAAAAAGAGAAATGTAATATTCTTATCAATTTTTTGTTGTCATTCAGGTAGAATATTGAGCCGTTTCACGAAAGATGTTGCTATTATGGATGAATTATTACCAATAAGTCTTTTCGATTTCTTACAGGTAGAAGCAGGTCTATATAATTCATTTTTAAGGAGTCATCATGAGGCAAATAAACTAGTAGAAGGATTTTTGAATCATCTGCTTTATAGTCATACTTGAACGGAAATGTTGAATAGTTTTTATCGTGAAGTAAAGCATAAGAGAGAGCGTCAAGAATCATCAAAACATGATAAAAAATAGATTTTTCTGAGACCTATCTCATTCGATTTTCTATACAAAATTAGGTATGTTACGTTGTTTTTAATGAAAAAAGCCTTATACTTCCTGAGAAATTCAGCTTTTTCGAAATGCTGGATCATTCTCTGATAAAAAGCCGCGAATTTTGTTTTTCTAATTATAGTTTCAACTCGTTACATCAGACTTTTTTATTCAATATATCACTTGACAGTGCATAAAATACTGAACAAAATGTATAATTCAGCTATTATGGACTTTTAAAATTCAA